ATGGGTACGCAAATGCCCGAAATGCCAAATGTTTGCCCCGAACGTCCATCAATCTCTCGAAGAACTAAAATCAATTTACAGTCCGTGGCCGTTTGCCAAATGGGGGATTGATCTTGTTGGCCCTCTACCAACCGGAAAGGGAGGTGTCCGGTTTGCTATCGTGGCAGTTGACTATTTCACTAAATGGGCCGAGGCTGAACCGTTAGCCACGATAACCGAACAGAAGGTCGTAGATTTTGTGTGGAAGTCAATTATCTGTCGCTTCGGGGTGCCGAATTCCATCATAACCGACAACGGCAAACAATTTGAAGGCAAACGACTTGAATCCCTGTGTGAAGAATACAACATCAAACACTTCTTCTCATCTCCCTACCATCCGCAGTCCAACGGTCAAGTTGAAGCCGTGAACAAACTTATAAAGAACGGTCTCAAAGTCCGACTTGACGCCGCCAAAGGAGCTTGGCCCGAGGAGTTGCCACATGTCCTATGGGCTTACCGGACTACCACACGGACGTCCACCGGCGAGACCCCATTTTCTCTGACTTACGGTTCCGAAGCCGTAGTCCCGGTGGAGCTCGGAGAACCGACTTACCGAATTCAGCATTTCACCGAAGAAGCCAACTTGGAAAACATGAAAGCAAATCTGGACCTGCTTGAAGAACACCGTATTCGGTCCGAACTCAAGAATGCTGCATACAAGCAAAGAAATGAAAGATACATCAATTCTAAACTCAAACCCCGTGCGTTCCGAGTTGGAGATTTGGTCCTCAAGCGTATCATGGGGCCTGACCCCGGACCACTCAAACCGCGGTGGGAAGGACCCTTTCAAATCATCAAGATCCTACCTCATGGGGCCTACCGAATTGCTCATCCCGATGGAACACCACATCAATATCCTTGGAACGCAGTGTACTTGAAAAAATTCTATCAATGAAGGATCCGAAGTCGCATAATCGACCTCCCTTTTGTACGGACCTTCTCTTTTGTCTCGGTGAATGCCTGAAATCACCTCTTTTGATGTACTGAATAGTCGAGCACCAAGCCCGATGTCGATGTAAACCTTTTGAAACATGGTTAAATATATCATGCCGATGTAAGCATTGCAACACTCGGTCTAGCTGATATCCCGTAATACATCCAAACCCCACGTATGGTTTGGTTGGGGTTGAAGCTCGTCAAACGTCACTTCAGCTAACATGATTTGACGGGTCCCGATAATTACCGAACACTCACTCAAACAACTCGGTTGGGGCCATTCCATAATCGGACTCTGACGAAGTCCGGTGACTTTCATTTTTGTTTCCCGTACAGCCCTAAAAATGTGTTGAGTTCTGCGAAGTTATTTGAAAACTCGCATAATCAACTCACACTTGTGGCTGAGATTCTTATAAATGATCAAAGTGGAATTCGGAAGTTAGTTTTACAAAATCCTACAACTCGGATCATGATTTAAGCAATTCCGAGTTGAAGCAGTTTATTTTCTAATGAAAACCGAATTCAGAACACTTGGTCAAAAATCGCTGAAATTTGTACAGCAAAACACACAATCAAAATCAAGCGTATGCAAACACTTCATATATAAATATATTTCGAAAAGTTTGGGAAATCCCTTACATATTTCCTACTAAGGGAGTCGGCTATCCGACATCCCCGGTTACACACCATAAACTCTTAAATATTTCCTGCTAAGGATGCCGACATGCCGGCACCCCGATTACCTTATGTAAATAAGCAAAGAAAACAATAAAGACAAAGCACAAAATCAACTTTAGACCTCCTCGGATGGTTTCTCCACATTCTCTCCGGTGCCACTGCTTTCGCCGACTTCGATCCCGGAAGATAGTCGCTCCAGGACCTGCGATTCCTTCATTTTGGCAACAGCCTCAATAGCCCCGTCTGGCACCGGAATAAGATCATCACGAGGGTCGGTCAGCTTCTCCGCATCGTCTCCAACCGGTGTGACCACTTTCACAATTTCCACTTCTTTATCGGCCAACCTCGTTTTTTCTTTAATGTAAGCTTTGACTCGGCTCTGAGTCTGCTCCGGAGTCATGTCGTCGAAGTGCTGTTCGACCTCCACCTCGGCCAAAGTTGAAAGGTACACATCGGCCAGCTCCTTCCTTTTCTCCTTCTCCTCCTCCAAAATCATGTTGACATACGCACGTCGGAGGAGAGCAGCCCTATCCTCGGAGAGCGGCGGCAAATCTGGGTTGGCATTTATTTCTTGTGAACGGCGGAGCATCCACACGCAGAATTCTCGTTCGTCTTCATCAGCCGCCACATGCATCCCCTTGATCTCCGAGTCAAAACCATACTTCTCTAGTTTATGAAAAAGGAACAGGCGAAGGTCGTCGATATCATAGTAGCCGGCATCGTAGCGCTCGATGATCCACCTCAAGTTCAAACATGTGTTCATTTCAATCTCGAGGTCAGGACCGCCGGCGTCATCCTCTTCACCGGCCTCATCAGCATTCACCTCGGCATTGTCCCCGGACTTCGGTTCCACGATAACCGAATCTTTCCCGGCCTGAAATCCGTTCTCGTACATGAACTCGCCATAAGATGATTTCTCCCTCTCAAGTTTGGCTATGTCGGCCTGATGAGCGTCGTGCTGCCGACCCACAAGTTCACGAGTCTCGGCACACTCTCTACGAGCTGTTTCATGATTAGCCTTTTCCACCGATAAGGCCTTCTCGGTTTCCATCAGCTTGACTTCGGAAGTTTTGAAATGCTGCTCCACCACGGCCAAACGCGCTTTGAGATCCGCCATTTCGGCCTCATAGGCCTTCTTCTCATCTGACAGAGTTATGGTCTCAGCCTTTGCTTTCTCCAGCTCGGCAACCTTCTCGGCAATTTGGCCCTTCAAGTCGGCCTCCATTTTAGCCGATTCTTCCTTCAACTGAACAATCGCCACATCACGTGCGGCTAAAACATCCTTCTTCCCTTCCAATTGAGATGCGACCCGGCGATGATCGTCCTCGGCCGCCACTAAGCTAACCAAGGCCCTGCCAACACATGCCTTGGCGTAGTTCAGCTTGTCAACACTAGATAAAGAGGAGATCCCCACTTCGGATTTGGGGTCCCAAACCATCAATGGGACCCGAGCAGCATCTCTCGCATTTTCCGGCATCTCGATTCTTGATGACATATGAGGAGACTTCACCGACAAAAAAGTGGTAAACCAATCCTCCACCACGCCCTCAGGCACCTTAACTCTGGCAGCCCGTTCCTCATCAATTGATAAAAAAGACTTCTCAAACAAGGGAGAGTCATCCGTACCTTTCTCAGTCGCTTTACGACCGGAGTCATGCTTTTTCTTAGACCTTTTCTCCACTCCGGACGAAGCACCAACGTCCGCCATCTTCACCAATTTCCTCTTCTGTCTCTTCTCTGGTTGCTCCAACTCAAGCGACTTCGGGGAAGCTGGTGGCACTTCGGTATGAGCAACCTCAGTAGTAACCATTTCGGTCCCAGCTATGATTGGCTCTGGATCAGCTTGATTAATCGCCACAGCCTCCACTACCGACAACACTTCGGTAGTCGCCACCTCGGGCACAGACTTCGGACTCTCAAGCATGGCAGCCGAAGTGGCACTCGACCCCACCTCGGTCGACTTTTTCCCAGCATTCTTTTGACCAGCTGTTTTCTTCACCAACGCGCGAACAAGATCCCTCCTCATAGCGTCGTTTAATCTCAAATCACGGCTTTTACCAACTTTAGATTGACGGTCTCTGTTCGGGAATTTGCGCCTGAACTCCTAGGCTTCCTTGACAGAGTTGTAACCCAAGAAACCGAGGAGAGGATAATATACTGCATACCAACAAGGGATAAAAGTTACAAACGGCTGTTCCATACATACGAAAAAATTCGACATCTTTATTGGCTAAAATACTCTTACCGGGGTCAAATTTCGATGTAGTGACTCCCAGAGACAGACCAGCCGCTTCAAGTTTTGAATCTATTAAGAGCTTGCGATAATCCCTGTCCGGTTTATCCAAACCAGCCAAAGTTATCAGCTTCCCACCGAACTCTGGACTTAACTTCGGTTCTTTTTGCTTCGTCTCTTTTTCTACAACAGAGTAAAAGTTCCGACCTGTTAGTACACAGAACAATACAAAAATCAGACAAGTATATCCGAATTGAAAAAACAGAAATAAACTCACTGGCTCCGGAATGAATTAACATGGGAATTGTCATCCCATCAATTCGGCGTCATGAAAGAAGTCCACTGATTGCCATTCTCCACCGATCCACAACCACTCTTCCTAGAAACCGTGGAGACTTTCCGAAATCTCGGTCACTATCTCCCCAACTTTAACACCATGTTGCGGTTTCGCCCCGGCGAAAAAGCAACAAGACGATTCGGCCACCCTCCTCTTCGGACTTTGTTTAAAGGCAAAAATACTCCTCATCTCATCGCACGAAGGAAGTCCCTCACCCCTCTCGTGCAGCAACACCATTAGCCCGATTATCTTTTTCCAGCTATTCGGCGTGATCTGGCACAACGGTAACCCCCAACTCCGGAGGTATTCCGTGATCAAGTTTGGCAACGGGAACCTTAATCCCGACCTCAGACTCTCCGCGAAAACGCCCACGCAACCCGGAGGGGGACTTGTTATTCTCTCCCCGGGATAAGGAGCAAAGATTTTCACCGAGGGGGGAATCCGAACTTGTTCTCTCAACATTACGACGTCAGCGTCGGTAAGAATACTTGGCTCGCCAATGAAATCAATCGTCGGATCGGGCCACTTCCT